CTGCATGGGCGTGGTATACAGATATACACACAGGAAAATCAACCATACACATCAAATGAAAACAAATCTTAGCCGGGTCTGACGGCCCACACCTTTATCCCAACACTGGGATGCAGAGGAGGCAGATTTCAGGAGTTTGAGGACCGCCTGGTTTACAGAGTGAGTTCCAGGACAGCCAGGGCTACACAGAGAAACCCTGTCTTAACTAAAAATAGGGCTGGAGCGATGGCTCAGTGGTTAAGAGCACTGGCTGCTCTTCCAGAGGTCCTGAGTTCAATTCCCAGCACCCACATGGGGGCTCACAACCATCTAATAATGGGATCTGGCGCCCTCTTCTGGCCTGCAGGTGTACATGCAGAGCGCCCATACATAAAAGATAGACTAAACTGAAAAAAAAAAAAAAGAAAAACCAAAAGTGAAATTGAATAAGGAGAGTAAAACTATTTATTCAGACAATTATTGTTTTTGTAGGAAATAGGAGTCTACAGAAATCTGCCTGATGTAATTAGTTTAATGAACTGCAGGATACCAGTAAAAGATAAATAAATTAAATCGTACTTTAAAAAAAAAAAAGATTTCCGGGCTGGAGAGATGGCTCAGTGGTTAAGGGCATTGCCTGCTCTTCCAAAGGTCCTGAGTTCAATTCCCAGCAACCACATGGTGGCTCACAACCATCTGTAAAGAGGTCTGGCGCCCTCTTCTGGCCTTTAGGCACATACACAGACAGAATATTGTATACATAATAAATAAATATAAAAAAAAGATTTACTTACTGGATATGTATGTATCTGTGTTGTTGCTATGTTTGTTTGTGTGCCACTGTTCCATTGCTGTGAAGAGACACCATGACCAAGGCAGCTCTTACAAAAGAAAGCATGTAACCGAGGGCTGGCTTATAGCTCCGCAGGTTTAGTCCATCATCACCGTGGAGGGGAGCATGGCGGCACGCAGGCAGACATGGTGCTGGAGGGACGTGAGAGCTACACCTGATCCACTGGCCCAGAGAGCAACTCTGGGCTTGGCGTGGGTTTTTGAAACTTCAAGGCACACTTCTTTCAACAAGGCCACACCTCCTAATCATTTCAAATAGCGCCATTCCCTGGTGACCAAGCATTCAAATCTGTGAGCCTGTAGGGCCATTCTCATTCAGACCACCACAGTGCGCATGTGCCCTTGCGCAGGTGCCCACTGTTATGTAGCGGCCAGGGGAGGGCAGTGGTGTTCTCTCTGACACCGCTAACTCCTACGAAGCAGGGTCTCTCCTTGAACCCGGGACATGGGTTTTTGTTTTTTACCCAGCTGGCCTCAAACTCACAGAGATCTGAAAGGCATGTGTCACCATGCCCAGCTTGTTCTGGATTTGTTTTTTTTATTTATTAGTCTGTATTTATAGCATAGAAAACACGGAGTGGGAACGGAATGAGGGGCTCTTACAGAAATCCTTACAGAGTGACAAAGAAGTCGCTTGTCCACAGCCGACAACAGTCACAGATGTGATCAACCTCTGTCCAGATGCTGCTTCCAACATTAATGGGATTCTTTTTGTTTAAGGTTTCTCAACCTATCGACTGCCTTCAGCAAATGACTACCACAGCACACACGTAGACATTGCTCTGGGCAGGGGCGTGGAGAGCTCATAGCTTAAAACTACATATTTATTTTAGGAATTTGTTAGGAAATCCTAGGCATAGTAAATTTGGTTACAAGATTCTTTTATTTTTTTAAGAAAAATGTTAGCTTTATTTATTTAAAGTTTGTGAATGTTTTGTCTGCACGTGTGTTTGTGGACACATGCACGCCTGGTGCTGGAGGAGTTCAGAATAGGGTGTCGGATCCCCTGGAGTCAGAGTCACAGTTTGTGAACTATGTGGGTTCTAGAAACTGAACTTAGGTCTTCTGCAAGAACAGTAAATGCTGTTGACCCCTGAGTCATCTCTCTGGCCCCTACATTCTTCTTTTAAAGGCAGGTCAAACTTAAACAGCCCAGTACACGGTAGGGCAGCAGCTCTCAAGGCGTATGGTTGTCTCAGTCTGCTGGAAGTTCAGTCTCTCTAAAGGCAAAGGGATCAGGGGGGTTGGAGAGATGGCTCAGAGGATAAGAACACTGGCTGCTCTTCCAGAGGTCCTGAGTCCAATTCCCAGCAACCACATGGTGGCTCACAACCATCTGTAATGAGGTCTGGTGTCCTCTTCTGGCCTGCAGGCATACACGGAGGCAGAATGTTGTATATATAATAAATAAATAAACCTTTAAAAAAATAGGGAAAGGGATCAGAAATCCCATCACTAACAAAGAGCACACAAGCACATCCAACATGGTACAGGACCATCCTCCAAGCCTTCACTATCACCTTCAGGAGTTCGGCTTCTCCTGCTGAAAAGGGCATCTCATTTGGACTTCTTGACTACTCTTGGCTCCCTCATAAAAGGAAAGGTGGAGGAGAGTTGTGAGACCCGCAGTACCTAGCCACACCTCTCAGCCAGATGCCTGCGATTTTATCCTAATTGTAGAAGTCTTTACGATCTTGGGGAGAACGCATAGACTGGGGAATTCTAGGGGAGGGTGTTTCACCTAAAAATTCAGGAGGAAGTCCTCACCTACACTGGGCACGGCTTCTAGTTCGGCTGCTTCAGGGACACATACACAAACACACGTGTGCACGTGTTCTGTAAGTACCCTAATAAACTTATGGCTCCCCACGGGGGGATGTTGGTGAAATTTAACTCTGGTTTCTCATTTGAACTGTGTCCGGGATTGTTACCTCATCTACCCCAGGGTGAAAATTCTCGAAACAGATATTCCATATCATTAGTGTCATAATTTGCTTTCTATTGCTGTGATAAATACCATTACCAAAAGCAACTTGCGGGAAAAGAGGTTGTTTGATTCTACATAAAAGAAAGTAAGGGCAAGAACTGAATGAAGGACCCGGGCGGTGGTGGCGCACACCTTTAATCCCAGCACTTGGGAGGCAGAGGCAGGCAGATCTCTGTGAGTTCGAGACCAGCCTGGTCTACAGAGCTAGTTCCAGGACAGGCTCCAAAGCCACAGAGAAACCCTGTCTTGGGAGAAAAAAAAAAAAAAAGAACTGAAGAACTATGGAGAAACACTAGTTTGCACTCTCGACTTACTCAACTTGCTTTTTTATACAGCCCAGAACCACCTGTAGCACTGCCCACAGTGAGCTGGGCTCCCACGTCAAACGTTAATCAAGGCCCCACAGCTGTACCCATAGAGCAATCTGAAGACTGCATGTTCTCAGCTGAGGTTCCTCTTGCCAGATGACCCTAGCTTGTGTCAAATTGATCTAAAATCAGCTGGCACAATTCAAGTCATGCAGACCAACACCACAGGGATCTGCCGCTGTATAAATGGGAGAGGCAGTGTGTGGCTGCAGAGACAGGAGCAGTTGAGGGCCTCTACTGTTTTTGCCAAGGACCTGGTTTTGATTCCCACGTCACGAAGGAGGCGCACAACTGCCTGTTACTGCAGCTACAAGGGAATCCAATGCATCTATTGCTACGACAGCTTCGTTCATGTCTGACTGGTACAGCCTGGCTAGCGTCAGGCCCAGAGGTAGCGGGCTGCACCGCCCCGTCGTTGTGGATCATATGCCCATACCCAAGGTAACTGTATTATTATTTAGCTGTTGTGTTAGAGTTCTCTAAAGGGATGCAATCAGTCCCCATGATCTCATAGGGAGTGGCACTATTAGGTGTGGTTTTGTGGTATCACCATGGGGGTGGGCTTTGAGATCTCTTTTGCTCAAGCTTCCCCAGTATGATTTTCTGTCAACTTCCTGCTGCCTTCTGGTCAAGATTAGGCAGCACCCCATCTGTCTGCATGATGCCATGCTCCCCATTGTGATAATGATGATTTTCACAGCTATAAAAATACCCAAAGACAGGGCAGAGCTGACAGATCAAAGTGTGTGACGTACACACGAAGGGGGTTTTTATTGGCTTCCAAAGTCTGCTCTGGGCACTCTTGCTTTTGTACATTAATAGTTAACTTTTTTCTTAAGACAGGGTTTTTCTGTGTAACAGCTCTAGCTATTCTGGAATGCACTTTGTAGACCAGGCTGGCCTTGAACTCAGAGCTCCACTTGTCTGTCTTCTGAGTGTTGGGATTAAAGATGTGTGCCACCACCACCCAACACATTACTAGTTAAAATTGTGACCCTTTGGGGCTGGAGAGATGGCTCAGTGGTTAAGAGCACTGACTGCTCCTTCAGAGGACCCGGGTTCAATTCCCAGCACCCACAGGCAGCTCAGAACTGTCTGTAACTCTAAGATCTCTGACACTCTCACACATACATGCAGACAAAACACCAATACAAATAAAAGTAAATTTTAAAAAAATTTTAAAAATTGTGACCCTTAAAAAAATTCGTTAAATATTGGTGCTGGTGAGATGGCTCAGGGGTTAAGAGCACTTGCTGCTCTTCCAGAGGACTGAGGTTTGGTTCCCAAGACTCACAATCACATGCAACTCTGGCTCCAGGAGACCCAACACCGTCTTCTGGCTTCCACATGTGCAGGGCTGGAGAGATGCCTCAGTGGTTAAGAGCAATGGCTGCTCTTCCAGAGGACTGGGTTCAATTCCCCACAACCGTGTGATAGCTCACAAGCATACATAAATAAAAATAAAATAATAAAACTTATTAAATCTAGGCAGGCATAGTGGTGCATGTTTTTAATCCCAGAACTCAGGAGGCAGAAGCAGGTGGTCTGAGTTTTTGCTTGTTTATTTATTTTGTCAAGACAGGGTTACTGTGTAGCCCTGGCTGTCCTGGAATTCTCTACAGACCAGGCTGGTCTTGAACTCAGAGATCCACCTGCCTCTGCCTCCCAAGTGCTGGGATTAAAGGCGTGTGATTTGTGTCCCTAGGGGGAGATTCCCCTGGAAAGAACTAATTTCCTTTGCAAGTGGTGGGTGGGGGAGGGGGACGTGCATCACAAATATAAATTTCTCTCCACTCATAAAGCAGACGACAACATTGCTGTTCTCTATTTTTATTATTTTTCAATTTTCCCAACACATGAACTATAGCTCATTTTGAGATTTCTTTTTTCAGTGCACTTCACAGCAAAAATGAAAAGGGAATCATTAAAATGGTTGTACACAAACCAATTCTTTTAATTTACAATTTGCTGAAAAAAAAATCATTGTTGCTGTTTTCATCCTTTTAACCCTTCTAAAGAAAGAGGTTCTCAGAGCACAGCCACAGCCGCCTGGCTCGGCGGCTGAGTGACAGGTGTGCGCTCCTTCCGCACACCAGCTGGAAGACCACGGGCAGGAGCAGGGTAAGGCACCACTCTGGGACAGTGAAGGGAGCTTGCAGTAACGGCCAGCACCACGAGGGGGCGCTCAGCAAACACTCAAATGAAACCATAATTAGCACTACTCTGTTCATGGCCGGCAATTCTTCAACCCCACTAAAATATCAATAAAAACCCAATTTCTACCTGAGTGCACATTCCTGCCTCTATCTCACTTTCCTCAGCTTCTAGATTTCCTTGGAAATGGAATAAACCCTACTTTGCGTGCACTCAGTCACGGACATAATTGAATTACTGACAGACATGAACAGGCTTTAGTTTTAACTTTTGAGTGAACAGAGGTCAGATAAAGCAAACTTACTCAGGAGAGCACATAATACTGAATACGAACCTACAAATGAGAAGAGGTACGGAAAAAGTAACAGCTTTGTTTTTTAGTATTTGCTATTTTTTTTAATGCCTTAGTTCTTGAGAAAGGCCAAAATCTCATATTGACATGAACATATTTTAAAAAATTGTCTCTTAAGTGTAATATTTAATAAAACTAGGTATTGAAAAATGTTCTGAAATTTTTCAAGTCAATGTTGTTTTCAAGTATATTAAAATGCTTAGAAGAAAAAATTCCTCCATGGTTACAATTCTAATTATAAATACCCTTTTAAAAGAGAGTTCCAACAGAGCAAGTGATGGGCTTCATCGGGCGCAGGCACAGCCTCCGAAGGAAGAGGCCTTGGGATGTGAACACTGACTTCAGGCACAATGGCGCGATCCACTTGTAGGTCCCGCTATTCTCCCTCTTGGTCTGGAAGAGCAGTGAGGACTTCAGTGTGGACTCTGCAAGGGACCTGACTTTTCACTACAAAGGAACCAGAGTCGCTGAGTTCTCACTGCTGTCCTCTGCCGCCCCGCACAAACAGGGGCTCGAGCAGATATAAGATGACACACGTACTGGGGGGTGGAAGGCTCTAAGATGGTATTGCTCACGTTGGTGAACAGGCTGCCGAGAGGCCCATCACGTGTCCTGAACACTTTGGTCTTGCTGCGGGGTGATGAGCTCGAGTAGGTACATTCGTGTTCAGCTAGTTTCAGGCTGTGCAATTAGGAGGCAGGTCACTCAGTGCAACGACTTGTCTGAGAGGGCTTGGGGATACAGGAGACCCTCATTTGGTCCAGTCTCAGAAAGCATGTGTCACTCTGCTGGCTGTGATGGAATTCCTTTCCAGAGGGGTTTGTGATAAACCCAGCCATCTCCCTGAAACAAGTAAGTAAAAGGGATTAAAGCAGCATCCTGCCAGCATCTCAAGGCAGAAACCCAGCCAGGAGCAACAGCAAAATGAGGATCCCCGATACAACCCCAGACCATGCCTGCAGCTTAGGGGGACACCACGGTTTGAATGTGAATGGTTCCCCCACAGGCTGATGGTGTGCTGAGGTTGAGGAGCCTTTTAGAAGTAACATCTCACTGGAGGCCGTGGGCTGCTGGGGGACTTGGGACTGTGGGGATTTTGTCCAGCTCTACTTCCTATTGACCTGATTGCCAAGGTGACACAACCAGCCTTCCTGAGCTCCCAGCAGGCCCCTGCCTGACACCAAAACAGACTACAGCCCTGAATCCACCCCCCCTCCTTAGTGTCAGGGATTCTGTCAGAGGCAAGGAAAGGAACCGTGCTGTGTGGAAACACCGTTCCTGACTCTTACACATGTAATTCTGCAGACGTCACCTGTACAATTCTTCCATTTGCCAAGATGCTGCAGACCAAGCCCCACAGAACACAGGTAGCAGGCAAGCACAAGGAAATGTTCATGAAGTGCAGACCAGAGAGCAGAGGGAGGGGAGAGCTATGGCAGCGATGCAGAAGAGCAGACTGCGGCAGACAGAGCAGGATGTGGCCACAGGTCGGGGTAATGAGGACAGCAGGCCTAGGTTTAGAGGGCTAGGGAACTCAGGCTGGAATTCTGCCTCTATCCCTACGTCTCCTTCAATCTATTCATAATTCATAATATCCTGTAACAATCAGGACTGTCTTCATAAGCCTTGTCTTTGATCACAGGGCCCTGTTTAAACAACAAATCCTGAGGACCACAATGAAAATCTACTGAACTTAACCCCCCCCCCCCCACACACACACACAGGGTTTCTCTGTAGCTTTGGAGACTGGCCTGGAACTCCCTACCTCCCAAGAGCTGGGATTAAAGGTGTGCACCACCACCAGGCTCATTCACCCATTCTTCACACTGCCTTATTCCTAGAAACCCCTACTTGTTACACCAAATGCAGAACTGAGTTTATTCTTTGTCCTTGACTCCAACTGTTTATTATGGGATCTCCCTTCACGTCAATATATCAACCACTAGCCGGGTGATGGTGGCGCACGCCTTTAATCCCAGCACTCAGGACAGGCTCCTAAGCCACAGAGAAACCCTGTCTCAAAAAAAAAAAAAAAAAAAAAAAAAAGATATCAACCACTAGGCTGTTCATTCCTGAAGTCATCTGGTCTATAGATCTCAGCACTTACACTGCTCTCATCATTTTATGAGATTTTATCATTTATGTATATTATTATATACTATAAACATATATATTTAATCAATTTATGATGTGCTATCCAATCACCTTACTCTATGGACAAAAACCACAGGCTTTGAGCTCCTGGTGAGTGGCACACAGCTATAATCCTAGCACTTGCCGACTGAGGTAGGAGGGAGGACTGAGTGAGTCTAGTGGAAAGGAGATAGAAGCCATGAGAAGCCAAAGTTCTCATACAATATTTATGAAGCGCCTATGATATGCTAAGTGCTGTGGACGCCACCCCAGGAATCCCTGCAGCGAAGAGCCTGCATGAACACCGAGGCTCACAACCCATGACTGGCAACCACCCTCAGCCTTACTGGTTCCCTGCAGTGCTTCTCACCTGGGATCACACATTACCATCCAGTCACACACAGAGCAAGGGCAGGCAAGAACAGCACACACCTCTACCCTGTCTGTTACACGAATGTCAAGGCTAGCACATGCAAAGGGACAAAGGGACCCAGATCTAAGCTTGCATTTCTAAACTATGATTCTAGGGGCAGTTACAAAGAACATCTAGGTGGAACAAACCCATTATTTCAGTAGACATCACAGTGTGTGGGGATAGGGGGTTGCCAAGAGGGTTGAACAGTGAAAATCACTTGCTGTTCTTGCCCAGGTTTGGTATCTAGACCGCACATGGGTGGTTCATAACTGTGACTCCAGGTCAAGGAGATCTGACACCCTCTTCCGGCTTCCTCATGTACCGTATGTGTACATATGTGGTGCACATGTACACATGCACATCAACACGCATACACATAAATCTCAAAAAAAATAAGGTAGGCTCTCAGTATTACATATAAATTATAAATGAGGGAGAGGTGGCTCAGAGGTTAAGAGCACTGACTGCTCTTTCAGAGGTCCTGAGTTCAATTCCCAGTAACCACATGGTGGCTCACAACCTTCTGTAATGAGATCTGGTGTCCTCTTCTGGTGTACAGGCATGCATGGAGGTAGAATGTTGTATACATACTAAAATAAATCTTTATAAAAAATTATAAATGAGATGTTTACTTGTGGTGGTGATTTGAAGCTCACAGGGCATGGCACTGTTAGGAGGTGTGGCCTTGCTGGACTAGGTTGGGGAGGAAGTGTTGCTCTCTTTGTGCTGCCTTTAGATCCGGTTGCAGAACTCTCAGCTACCTCTGCAGCACCATGTCTGCCTGCATGATGCCATACTTCTTGCCTCAAATGATAATGCACTAAACCTCTGTACTGTGAGCAGCCACAATTAAATGCTTTCTTCTAGAAGAGTTTGCTGTGGTTATGGTGTCTCTTCACAGCAAGAGAAAACCTAAGACACCTGTCCTGCTAGCAGCAAGAATGTCAGGGTGCTACTGGGCGTGGTGGCGCATGCTTTAAACCAAGTAGTTGGGAGGCAGAGGCGGGCCGACCTCTGTGAGTTCTAGGCTGACCTGGTTGACATGGAGTTCCAGGCCAGGTAGGGTACACAGTGAAACCCTGTCTCAAAAAGAAAGGGGAGAAGAATGAAAGAATGAAACAGGGCTACCCTTCAAATCCTGTTAATGCCATGTATGACAAGCGGAGCTCCTGTGCAGTCCAGAGCTAGTTTTTAACAACAGACAGATCTGTTCCTGTCATACCCATTTCTTTAACCCAAAGTTACCTGGGAGTAATTCTGAATAGCAATTACAAATGTATATTTGTTCATAGAAAAATATAGAGATGGAGCTGGGCAGTGGTGGCTCACACATTTAATCCCAGCACTTAGGAGGCAAAAATATGCAGATCTCTGAGTTCAAGGCCAGCCTGGTCTACAAAGTGAGTTCCAGGACAGCCAGAGCTGTTGTACAGAGAAACCCTGTCTTGAAAAACACCAAAAGTAAATAATGAATAACAAATAAATAATGAAAAAAGAGAGGTGGGGACTGGTTAGAGAGTAAAGGCACTTGCCACTTAACCTGGCAACCTTCCAACATGGTAAAAGGAAAAAATCAACTTCAGTCACATTCTTCTCCTACCTCTGTATTAGCACATGTGAAATCTATCCACCAGAAAAAAAAACCCAAAAAAACAAAAACAAAAACGGGGGGGTGGGGGGGATGTAAAAATGTTCTATTTGTTATTCCTATCAAAAAAAGTTGGTAAAAGAAAAAGTATAGGTGCTATTAAAATGAATTATGGATTAAAAAAGCTTTTATTATTACTGTATGTGCATGTGTGAGTACCAGTCACGGGTGTGCAACAAGGCACACATGGAGGTCAGAGGACAACCTTCGGGAGCTGTTTCTCCTCCATGGCATGTCCCACAGTCAAACTTAGTCAGCATCATGCACCATTTCCTACTGAGTTATCTCACAGTCTCTATGTGTACCTATCTGTGCCTAGGTGAGTTTATGTGTACTGTGTGTGCAGGTGTTTGAGGGTCTCCTGCAGCAGGAGTTACTGAGAACTGATCCCAGGTCATCTGCAAGGGTAGCAAATGCTCTTAAATACCGAATTAAACTCTGAATTATGGATTGCTTTGCTTTTTGCTTTCCAAGACAGGGTTTCTGGTGTCTAACAGCTCTGGCTGTCTAGCAACTAGCTGTGTAGACCAGGCTGGCCTTGAACTCACAGAGATCCACCTGCCTTTGCCGAGTGCTGGGATCAAAGGCATTAAAGGCATGCGCCACCACAGCCCGGCCCTGAATTCTGGATTTGTGAGGGCAAAGATGACAGTGAGGTGGCTTTTCAGATTTCTTCTTCTGAGGAGCATTAGTTTTCTGAGGAAGACTACTGCCAAGAAAGGTGTTCTTCATCTCAGTGTTAGTTAGCAGCCACCCTTCTCTGAGCCACCGATAACAACGAATGCTTTAGGTTGCTGCAGCTGGAATCTATCTAAACATCACTTAGTTCAACTGCAAGTCAGTGGCTCAAGATCTACGAAAGCCATGGGTTTTACATGTTGCAGCAGGCCAGCAACACACTGTTATGTTCTGACTCTGTGTTTTTGATTGTTATACAGTATCTTCTGATGTTATTTCCAAGACTTGCTTGGTGGTAATTTGGGTGCTAGCTAAGTACTTAGCTTTTGGTTCTGGTGACCAAACCCAGAGTTTTCAAAATGCCAAACAAATACAATACTGCTAAGATATTCTTCTAGTCCCTGATAAAAATTTCTATGTAGCAAGCCCCATTTACTGTGAAGAAACTTATAAGACACCTTTTATTTTCCTTCTCTATGTTAAACACCCTACATTAACCACTTTGCAACCCCCGCATGGCCAATGAAATTTCTTTTATTTTTATTTTTATTTTTTTTGATTTTTCGAGACAGGGTTTCTTTGTAGCTTTGGTTCCTGTCCTGGAACTAGCTCTTGTAGACCAGGCTGGCCTCGAACTCACAGAGATCCGCTTGTCTCTGCCTCCCGAGTGCTGGGATTAAAGGCGTGCGCCACCACCGCCCGCTCCAATGAAATTTCTTGTGCTATGCTAGAACTGAACAGAGCTGAGGATGTGACGTAAAGGGTTGTCAACTTATCCTACTCTTCCTATTACTGACTAGGCTAGCATTTAATTTGTGGCCCATTTTAGTCTCCAAATATATTTTATCTGATCTCTAGGAAAGCTATATTACTTGAACAAACTGTGGAAAGTGCATGAGAAAGTTCCCCATTAAGCTAGACCATGCCTGAGTGTGTATGTGTGTGCATGTGTGTGTGCTATGTACATGAGGGTGGGGGCTAGATTTCAAAAGTGGGTTATCTTCCTCAGGCATTCTCATTTTTTACACTTTAAAAATTACATTTAATTAATTAATTAATTTTGTGTATATGTGTGGAGGTCAACTTGGAGGAGACAGGTCTCTTCTTCTACCATGTAGACCATGGTGATCAAATTCAGATCACTGGGGTTGGTGGCAAGCGCCTTACCCATGAGCCACCTTGCTGGCCAACTACTTTTATTTTTTGAGGCAGGGTCTCTCACTGAGGCTGGAGCTCTCTGATTCACTATGTCTCTGCCTCCCCAGCACTGAATTACAGCCCTTTGTGTGAGTTCCGGGGATCTGAACTCAGGTTCTCCCACTTATACAGCGAGGGCTTTACTGCTTGGCCATCTCCCAGCCCCTAGATAGACTACTTTGAACATAAAGCTGTGCAGCAGCTAGTGACTCAACAATAAACAGGGAAGGCAGAGTCCCGCAGTAATGCACACAGAACATACCTCTTTAATAAAATACTTGGTTGTCCAGGGTGTGCCTGTTTCAGTCCGATGTCTTTCTTCAGTTCTCTGCCGTTCTTCCAAGGCACGTTTGTGCTCTGTGGCCTTGTCAATTTCAGATTCCCTCAGAGAATCTGTTACATCTTTCCATAATCGTCTACAATTAAAAATGGCCTATTTTACAAATAGTCTTTTAAAAGAGGATAATTTAAAAGTCACAATAATTTCCTTTTTCTCTTTTTTAGTAATTCTGATCGCAGCTTCCCCTTCCAACTCTCTTCCCAGCATGCCCCCGCCCAAATAATTTCTAACATTTACATTTTTCTAAATCATTTGCAGCTCTGAGTGGAGAGCACAGACAGGGCCTCTGTTGTGAGGCCCAGATTGCCACAGCAGCGGATGGGGTTTAAATTGAGAAGCTCAACTAAGAAGCATTTTCAAGTTTCCTAAACACAACTATTCTGTTTTTAGGAAACTTTCAGAAAGTAACAAATAACATGAGATATCTTTACAAGACTGAAATGCAGGAGGTTGAGCTATGGCTTGCCCACGCCTGTGGTGTGCCTTCAGTTCCCAGCTCCACATAACACTGGGCATGGCATGGGCATCCTGTAATCCTAGTGCTTAGGAGGCAGACGCAGGAGAGCGAGTTCAAGGTTATCCTAGGCTGTACAGAGAGTTCATGGCTAGCCTGAGGTACAAAGAACCCCCACAGCCCAAAGAGAAGACAAATAATCCAATAGAAAAGAAATAAAAAAAAAAACATGCTTTGTGAAAGATGCTACTTCCTCATTAATTTGAGATTGACATATGAGCACCATATTGGTCGCTGGGAACTATAAATTACGGCCACGAGCGCTTCATCCCTATCAGAACAGAGTAGAGACAGACACTGGGGATATGGAGAAACTGGAAGTGGAAGGGGTCTAAAAGAAAAATCAATGAAACCAAAAGATGGTTGAACATAATTAAACTTTAATCATACTGACCATGGGGAGGAAAATTACAGTATGAAGAATAAGTCCTGGGGCTGGAATGATGGCTCAGTGGTTAAGAGCACTAGCTACTCTTCCAGAGGTCCTAGGTTCAATTCCCAGAACCCACATGGCAGCTCACAACTGTCTGTAACTCCAGTTCCACGGTACTCAAAACCCTCAAGCAAAAAAGATGCCAATCCACATGAATACTTAAAAAAAAAAGAAAAAAGAAACTGGGCAGCGATGGCGCACACCTTTAATCCCAGCACTTTGGAGGCAGAGGCAGGCGGATCTCTGTGAATTTGAGGTCAGCCTGATCACAGAGTGAGTTTCAGCACACCCAAGGCTACACAGAAAAACCCTGCCTTGGAAGAAAAAAAAAAAAACAAGAAAGAAAGAAGAAAAGAAGAGTCTGGGGCATCACTATATATCCTATAGGAGGGAAGGTAGTACCATTAACTGCAAATAAATTGATAACTAGTCAAACTATTTTTTTTTTTTTTTTAGTTTTTAGAGACAGGGTTTTTCTTGTGTAACCCTGGCTGTCCTGGAACTAGCTCTGTAGGCCAGGCTGACCTAGAACTCAGAAAGGTCTACCTGCCTCTGCCTCCTGAGTATTGGGATTAAAAGTGTGCACCACCACCATACTGTGTGTAAATGAGAATATGTTAATGAAGTTGAAGCGATTCAGATCTTTGATACTATGTGAAAACCTGGCCAGCGCTACTTTACCTCTGAAATCTGTTATTGGCGGAGGGAGCTGACAGTATGCTGTGGGGTCAGAGGGACAACCTTGTGGGGTTGGTGCTTTCCTTCTACCTTTTACATGGGTTCTGAGATTGAATTTACGCTGTCAGCCATGTGAGGCAAGTACCTTTACCCTCAGAACCATCTCGCCAGCCAGGTAACCAACTGGTAGTTTTCAAGGTTAGTTTTAATGTAGGAGACAAAAACTTGCCAATTGTTTTTCATACATAAAATGTCATAGCTAGCAAGGGGTTTTAAAGTTAAATAAATCAGACCAACACTTTCATTTAATAGATGGCAAAGCTGATATAAACTGCAGTAACTTAGTGAAGGGCTTAGCTAGACTAGGCGTGAGGGTGACACACCTGGACTCGAAGGGATCCTGCTTCTCCAGAGGCCTCACTCTCTTCCTCGTCACGGCCAGCTTAGTCAGGTCCACGCACTTGGTCTCGCCATTGCTGTAGGTGAACTCCAGAACACTGTTCCACTCCCCCTGTACTCTGCACACCACAGTGTTGGAAACGTTGTGCTTCACTTCAGCTGTGACGCTACAGCGGGGAGAGCAAAGGTGTCCTCAGAACTCACAACTTTAAATTAGCTAGAGACCACATTTCAACTGCCAGTCCCTGGGCCAGTGAAGACCAATCCTGTTCCAGATCCCTAGGGCTGTTCAGCCGCATCAGTTTTAGTCTTCAGAAAGAATATTAGCAACCAGACTGGACTTCATTAGCACAAACGGATAGTCACGTCTAGCATGTTCATTACAGTATAAAAATATGCTAGCACTATAATCTAGCTCTCTCTCACTGGCCCATCTGCCCAAAACATCTCAAGTTCTAGAGATCAACCACCCATATTTATTAATTTGTGATTTTCTTTCCTAAACAGGGTTTCTCCATGTAGCCCTGGCTGTCCTAGAACTTGTTCTATATACCAGGCTAGCCTCAAACTCACAGAGATCTACCTGCCTCTGCCTCTGGGATTGAAGGTGTGAGTCACCATGCCTAGCACAAAAATCACAATTTTAAATTCAATACAAAACTTGAATAAGTCATTAATAGTTAGAAAAAATATGAAATACAATTAAAATTCTAAGTTCACTGGCTAAAGCAGAAAAGTGAGGAGTGGTGATCTATGGAAGCACATGGAGTTCGTAGAAAGTAGTAACGTGAATGGCGGCACCTGGACGCCAGCGGACAGCGGTGCAGATGCAGCTTAGGTGGAAGGCACAAAGAAAAACGTCAAACATGTTTAATGAAGTGTGTTTCCTGTAGAATAAAGTTGAGGTAAGTTCAAAACTCAGGGAATAGCAGGCAGGTTAAAGTCTAATGACTGTCCAGAGCCTGTGATTTATTTGGGTCCAAAAGAAAACTTGGGAGACCCAAGGCATCACAAGGAATGTGGTAGCATTAGCTGTGTGTACACAAGGCAGGAAACCAGGAAGGAAGTGAGCTGCAAACTCAGAGCTCAAGGCAAACTCAGAGCTCAAGGCAGGTGGGTAGAGAGTCCAATAACAAAGGGTCTGTGGGCCAGATCTTGGGAGCCTAGGTTTAGATGGTTTAGAGGGAAGAACAAACATTCAAAATGCAAATCAGATGTAACTGCTAACTGTAGTTCACAGGACACAAAGAACATAGCTACACGTCCACTTGGTTATAGGAGTGGGAACTCTTAAATTGTATTTCAAACCATTTGAATAAACAAAATTGTATTGCAAAGGGCTCCTTAGAAGTCAGACAAAATGTCTGTTTAGGGGTCACTACATTATTTCTCAAAAAATTTTTTAGATTTATTTATTTTATGTGCATGGGTATTCTGTCTGCATATATGTGATTAGCATTTACATGTCTGGTGCCTGCAGAGGTCAAAAGAAGGTCTTGGATCCCCTGGGACTGGAGTTACACGTGGTTGTGAGCTGCCATGAGGGTGCTGGAAACTGAACCTGATTCCTGTGCAAGAGCACTAAGTACTCTTAACCACTGAGCTATCTCTGTAAAGGTCTGTTCTGTCCCTTTAAGAGACAAGCTCCACCCACTCCCCCCCTTCTGCTGAGGCTAGAGTGATCCTTCCTTCTGCTACCAGCCTGTGCTCTCTCTGCCCTGTTTCTCTTTGGAAGAGGCAGCTGCTGCTGTGCCCCCCCCCCCCTTACTAAATAGACTATATCCAAACTCACTCTGCATGGTGTGCCTATCTGTCTTGCACCTGCCTGGGACCCACAGAGGCTTGCGACATTGGCATACTTTTAGATGAAAGGCCAGACCATCTCTTCATAGTTACTTAACTTGGTCACTGTACTATAAAGGCAGTCAGAGAACATAAGGAAATTAAAGGACACAACTGTGTTCTGCTCTACCTTTCTCTAGTCTAATTCAAGAATGTCCACACTATCTTTTCATCTAACTCACTGTACATGTCAACGTGGCTACCTCTGACATGCCTGTCCTCTGTGCTGTACACATCTACATATACATTTACCCAGTGTCTGCTAGCAGCACTGTTGTGTACCCATACACAAATGATGAAGTGTGTGGTGTTAGGGAGACACAGGCCTTGTGCATGCTGGTAAATGTTTTACCTCTGAGCTACATCCCCAACCCTATCCAGAAAATCTATTTGTGATAGGCAAAAGTTAGAAACGATATAAACAGCTGTCAAAATTAAAATGCATTGTAAAGGCTAAAGAGATGGCTCAGAGGTGAAGGGCACTTGCTGTTCTCAAAAGGGAACCATTTTGGTGCTCAGCATCCACATCGAGGGGGCTCATAGTTGCCTGTTACTCCAGTTCTGTGGAGGCCCCAAAAGGCCTTATTGACCAAAGGTCAGGAGACTGGTTTCTAGTTCCTTCAAGGTTACTGTGCTTCTACAGAAAGACCAAGATAAATCCAGACCTCCCCAGCAGGAAGAAAATAGCCAAAAATCCAAGCAGGAAGAGAAGAATCAGAAATCTAGGATTAGCCGGTTCAGTGACTGTGTTTCAGGAACTAGCTGAAGATAAAGTTAGATTGTAATCTTGAGAATAATCTTGAGAAACAGGGAGTTGTCCCCTTGTGATTTTAGGAACTAGCTGATTATGACCTTGAGTCTTCTTGAGAGGCAGGGAGTTGTCCCCCTGTGACTTTCTGTGACACCCTCCCTGCCCCTTTTGGATTATTGGGCTGTGGTTTCTTCCTATAAAAACCCCTTCTCCAGGTCACTCGGGGTCGAACTCTCCCTGTGTGGGTTATGAGTCTCGGCCCCAGTGCACTGGTTCCCGTCTCACCTCATCAATTAAAGCCTCGTGTAATTGCAGCAAGGATGGTCTCTCGGGAGTTACTGGGGGGGTGGGGGTTATCCCAAGACTTGAGTGAGAGTCTCCCCACATGGGGGTCTTTCACAATCTCAAAGGTTCTACCTAGTAGTAAAGCAGCGAGTTCTGCTCTCTCAAGGTTAAGGTCAACAGGTGTGGCTAATTGCCAGACCCCCTGCACCTGAAATAAGGAAGTAGTTTGTTCCTACCTCAAAGCAGAGTCTAAGGATCCGACTAAGGTCTAGTTCCCTTTATGGAAATAACTTGAGATTCCACCCAGGGAGTGGTTGCCTACAGAGTATTTTGGTCTAAGGCGTGGGTGTGACTTGGTGACTTGTTTTGTTCCAGCAACAGAATGTTTAGCTAGGAATGTAGCCGAATTGGTAGGTTCATTTCCTTGTATCCTGTAAAGGCAGTCTTTTGTCTTACTTTTAACTTTTGGGGTCAGGGCTATTTTAAGCAGTTGGAAATTAAACACGAGCGAATTCCCTCTTGATACTAGCCAATATCTTTCTCCCTTTTATTATTTTCATTCGGGTCTTCATATTCTTTTTTTTTTTTTTTTTTTTTTGATTTTCAAGACAGGGTTTTAGCTGGGCGGTGGTAGCGCACGCCTTTAATCCCAGGAGGCAGAAGCAGGCGGATCTCTGTGAGTTCGAGGCCAGCCTGGTCTACAGAGCTAGTTCCAGGACAGGCTCCAAAGCTACAGAGAAACCCTGTCTCGAAAAACTAAAAAAAGGAAAAAAAAAAAAAAAAAACTGCACAGAGATACAGGCCTTGATAAGGAGAAAAATACCCTGCAAGTATACAAGGAGAAATCTCTAAAAACCTAGAACTGAACAAAATAAGTAGGATATAAAAGATAACATAGTGTATGCAGGCTTTAAAACTAATGTGTGGTATTAGAAATCAGCACAGTGGTTCCCAGGGTGGCAGTAGTTAGCCCAGGAGAGGAGGGAAATAAACTATCAATCAAAGAAAGTCCTCTGGGATGTTAGGGATCTGCCATAGTGAGGTAAAGACCTCTGAATATTCATGACTTGGTATATTCTTGTATGGATACTATTTTTAAAATAAAGAGTTTATAGGAAAACTACCCCACACTTCCAGAACAGTTGTCAAAGGTTAAGAAAAGAGTAGGCAACCTCAAGATCCTACTGGAAAACTTGTTTTGCCCGATGATCCGGAAGAGAGCTGCAGGGGCTGGCCTGCGGGAGGACACAGCAGCTGACTCCACAGAGGACCAGCACCTAGACACATCTTCCACTTGTGTTACGTTTAGACATATGTTCACCCTAGCTTGTAATAGGCTTCCTTCACTGAGCTTTGACTCTGATTCTGAATTCCTTTGGTCTGAACTGTGCCACAGACCACAAACAATTCTAGTTTCTATGCCGTTAGCAACTTTATAGGGAAATAGGAAAACAACACATGAGTTAGTATGGTGGCATCACTGCTGTTTTACAGCAAGGTCGGATATCTAGAGTGCTTTCTTTCCTTTTTTGTGTGTGTCCGTCTGTCTGTGTGTGGTTGTTAACTGGTGGTGGCACACGTCTGTTAGTTCAAGGAAAGCCTCAACTACAACCAAGTTCCAGGACAGCAGGGCTGTTACACAGGGAAATCCTGTCTTGAAATACAAACCCAAACCAAAACTGTGTGTACTTGCACATGTCTGCCTGTGTGTGTATGCGTAAGACCAAGACTGTTGTTAGGAATCTTTTTCCATTGCTTTTCCACCTTATCCTTTGAGGCAGTCTCTTAATCTGAGTCAGAGCTCTAGCTAGCTTGCTATGGGGATCCCCTCACTTTGTCTTCTAAGGCTAGAGAGTCACGGGAAAGCCACCAAATACACCAACAAATCTGAACTCCAGACATCCTGCCTGTGCGGTGAACGCTGCTAACAGTTTTGTGCATTCTCTCTCTCTCTCTCTCTCTCTCTCTCTCTCTCTCTCTCTCTCTCTCTCTCTCTCTCTCTCTCTCTCTCACACACACACACACCCGCCTTAGTCTCCTCTACAGAAGACAAAGCAGGAAAAGAACAAGGAGTTCTAGTACAAGATTAAAGAGCAGAGCGGGACCCAGACACCTTCAAGTTCTTACCGGTGCAGTTTGCCACCATAAAACGGCTTAGTGTGAAAAGTGATGCTGGCTGAGTATCCCGTCTTTGTACAGTTGACGCTGACTTTGCCACCTAGTTCTACCCAAGGAACAGTAAGAATGGACCGGGCGTACGCACACGGCAGTGAAAATGTGTATTCCTCTCCATGTTCCAGCAGACTAAGGACACCTGAATGTAAAAGCATGATGGTGGTTAACGTCTCTTCCAAGAAACAGTTTTCTTCTCCTGTCTACTACTAATAATAAACATCATTTTTTTTTTTTTTTTTTTGGTTTTTCGAGACAGGGTTTCTTTGTGGCTTTGGAGCCTGTCCTGGAACTAGCTCTGTAGACCAGGCTAATAAACATCATTTTTATATTCATTTATTGAATTCATTTGGCAGCATTTCTAGATGATACTGACTCAGGGTCCCTTTCATTGTGACCTTCCTGTTCCTCTGGGTTTGTGCGACCTGTAATTGTTACAGTGCAAGCAGTCTAAATGTCCCACCAATGCTCCTAAAAATAAAATAAAGCCCTGGGGCTGCGGAGGGAGCTCTGTTGTGCAGATTCATGCTAAGACTTGGTCACCAGCAGCAGCTTGGCAGCCACTCAGAGTATGATGAGAAAGTGTTCATTATTCTAGTCTACACGTGTGAAAGACCAGATATAATCTTTTCATCAAGAACAAAGAGCATGCCACGTTTTATTTACCAAATTCAGAAGCTATAAGAGATGTAAGAGGTCTAAGTGGTGATTTTCAAACAAATATTCTATTGGGGGATTCTATATCAATGATATTATATCAAAGTAGCAAAAACATAAAAAGGGATTAATAGCCGGGCGATGGTGGCGCACGCCTTTAATCCCAGCACTCGGAGGCAGAGGCAGGCAGATCTCCGTGAGTTCGAGGCCAGCCTGGTCTACAAGAGCTAGTTCCAGGACAGGAACCAAAAGCTACGGAGAAACCCTGTCTCGAAAATCAAAAAAACAAAAAAAACAACAACAAAAAAAGGGATTAATAATAGTGAGTAATTGATCTGCATGATAAACTAAGCATACCCAAGCTACATTAGTACCTTCAATTTTTACCTATTACACTTCATTTATTGTGAGTGTGCGTCTGTATGTGCACATGAAGGTCAGAGACAATCTTGGCTGTGATTCCTTAGCTGTCATTCACCTTCAGTTTTGGAGACAGGGTCTCTTACTAGCCTAGACCTCATCATGGATGCACAGGTGGCTGGTCCGTGAGTCTAGATCCACTTGTCCTTACCTCTCCAGGAATGGGACCACACACTAGGTGCCTTATTCTTCTTATGAGTTAGAATAAACATTTAAAATTTTAGAATTATCAAAAACAAATGGAATTAGTTGTGGCGGCACACTTCATTAATCCTGGCACTTAAGAGGCAGAGGCAGATAGATCTCTGTGAATTTGGGGCAACTTGGTCTTCATAGCGAGTAGCAAGTCAGTCAGAGCTACATAGAGATTCTGACTCAATCTGATTTTAATAAATATAGGGAAAGTAAGACTCATGGAATCCTAAAACCTAAGCAATTAAACTAATTTCCCCCTAATGTTGAAGAACATAAATAACAAAATAAATCCCATGCAACTGTGTGTGGGTGGGTGGTGGTACACACATATTTTGTGCGTGTATGTGTGTGTTCGTGCGTGCATGTACTTATGCATGTATACAGAGACCAGAGGTCAACACCCCGCGGCTTCCTGTAACAAGGCTAGCCTGGAACTACAGAGTTCTGCTTGCCTCAGCCTCCGAGTACTGGAGTCACCACTTTCTTTTGAGGCCGGTCACTTACTGTGTACCCATTGCCATGCCTGGCTTTCCTGCCATGGGTGCTGGGGACCTGACCTTGGGGTGCATTTTTGCAAGGCAAGGACCTAACAGACTGAGCATCTCACCATTTCTCTATTCCTTCATCTTTTTTACTTGTTGCTAAGGGTAACCGAAGGCAGTTTAGTTTCCAAAAGGCAATACTTGAATACAAGAAAGGATCAGCTAATAAGAAGTCACTGGACCTCCCCTCAGGATGCACAGTTGAAAGTGGCACATGTTCCTCCTTTCGTGTCTGAGAAGCAGAGGCTACAGTGCCAGACTACTCCACTGAAAACAAGTAACAGCAGCTCTCCTTCAGGAGCACATAACAAAGTGAGGTTCTATATATGCCCTGAAACTCACAACGTAGATCAGACTAGCCACAAACTACCAGAGATCTGCCTGCTTCTGCCTCCGGAGTGCCGGGATTAAAGGTGTGCCACCATGCTGCCAAGTTTCCACAGTAAAACACTTTACAAGTGTGGTGGTGAACCCCTGTAATTTCAGTGAGTTCAGAGTTTCAGGCCAGCCAGAGCTACTCAGTAAGACCCTGTCTAAAAACAACATAAAAACCTTTATATTTAAATTTTTAAAATATAATTTCAAGGAGAATTTCTATTTGTTCATACTAAGAGCACAGTATTCTAGTGTGTCTCAATATACATTCTGGAGCACAACAGCAAAAAAAGCAGTATATGTAACACTTAAAATCTCTAACTAGGGGCTAGAGAGAGAACTCAGCAGTTACAGGCACTGGCTGCTCTTGCAGAGGACTTCAGGGGCTCAGTTCCCAGTCCCCAATATGGTAGCTCACAATTGCCTGTAAGTGGTTACTGCATACACATGGTGCACTTAACATCTATGTAGGCAAATATTCATATACATACAAACAAATCTCAAAAATCCTACAATTAATCCCTATACAGCCTTTCCAAGCTTAGCAAGTTTGATATAAAAACTGGAGAACAATCTTTCTACTCACCTTCTCCGACCATTGTCACACCTATGGACATGCCTAAGAACTTGCTTTTAGTCCAGACGTGTGCATTTACACACATCTTCCTTTCTGTACATTCTGCATAAAATCCTGAGACTGGAGGATGATGGGAAACTTGCTCAGCGACAAATCTGACAGTGTAACAGTCTGAGACCCCCTGGGCTAGAACATCCTCTGGCAGAGGAGCATGATTTGTGACGGTGGAGGTGCAAGAGCTGCCACTCAAACCGGATGCCATTCCACCCTTTGGCACCCTCCAGGAGCAGTGGAAAGTCTCCCCAATGATAGGATTGTACGGCTTCTTAGCAATGGCTCCCTTTCGGCCTTCGTGAAATGAGGTAAGGTAGTACTCAACGAAGCGAATCATCCGGTCCTCGGGCGTGGCTCCATTGGTAATGCCTATGAACAGGTCTGGATGAGACATGAAATCTGCATACATCTCCAATAAGGAGCGCTTCTCCAGGATAAATGTAGGCAGCACCACCTAAAACATCAATGCAAATCAATTAAGAGGGAGAATTAATATATCTATATCTACATATAGATATATATCCGAAAATAATTACCTCTATCTTCTAAGAGCATTTGCTACAAACAAAAGGATATGGTCTTTATAATAAGAAACAAAAACAAGACAAAATAAAACCCCAAGCATGTTTAAAAGGAGATGAAACTCTGCCTGAATGGTTAAGATTAAATACAAATTCAAGGCAAAAAGACGGTTAGACAGAGGCCTGACATGAGTTCCAGAGCAGCACAGAATACTCAGGGGCCGTGTCCGACGGATTTTCTATAGTTCTCGGGCTTCCAGGCTGCATGAATATACCAGGCACATTGTACTGTATGAGACATGCCATTTCTCTTTTAGATTTAATGTAATTTTTAATTATTTGTATATGTGTGTCTTTGTGTAGGGTACGTGCAGGTGAGTACAGGTCCAGTGGAAACCAGAAGAGGGTGTCAGCTTCCCTCAATTACAGGTGGTTGTAAGCTGCATTAACAAGGGAGCTGGGAACCAAACATAGGTCCACTGCAAGAGCAGTACCTGTTTTTCACTGCTGAGCCTTTCTCTCCAGGCCCACATCCTGTTCTTTTTTTTTTTTTTTTTTTTTTTTTTTTTTTTTTTTTTTTGTTTNTTTTTTGGTTTTTCAAGACAGGGTTTCTCTGTGGTTTTGGAGCCTGTCCTGGAACTAGCTCTTGTAGACCAGGCTGGTCTCGAACTCAGAGATCCTCCTGCCTCTGCCTCCCAAGTGCTGGGATTCAAGGCGTGCGCCACCATCCTGTTCTTCTTAAAAATAAATTGTGGGAAGCTGAAGATGGCAGCCCTTGGGAGCACGAGGCAGACCCCTTCTGATGTGAGGCCAAGCCCGCACGTGCTAGTTAGTTTTTGTAAACAGGACACAAGCCAGGTTCTTTTGAGAAGGACTCAACTGAGAAACTACATCAATCAGACTGGCCCGAAGACATGTCTGTGGGCATTTTCTTGATCTGCTCCCCTGAATGGGTGGTATAAGAAAGCAGGCTGAGCCAGCCACAAGGAATAGTTCAGTGAGCAGCATCCTCCATGATCTCTGCATCAGTTCCTGTCTCCAGGCTCCCTCCATCCCTCAAGACAGGGCTTCTCTGTGTAACAGCACTGTCTGTTCTAACTCTCACAGAGATCCACCTGCCTCTGTCTTCAGGGTTTTGACGTGACTTCTCTTCATGAAGAGACTGTGAGCTGTAAGCTGAAATAAACCCTTTCTCCTCCAAGTTGTTTTCAGTCAGGGTTTTATCACAGAAACAGAGAATCGAACTAAGATACAGGATTACACAATAAGAAGAAACTATCTTAATAAAACAAACAAAAAAAACCCTGTAGATGATAAGGTTTTATTTCCTGGAGAATAGCCCCACAGACAGAGGCATTTGCTGTTCTTACAGAGGATCCAGTGTGGTTCCCAGGACCCATATGATGGCTCAGAACCATCTGTAACTTCAGTTTCAAGGACCCAGTGCACTCTTCTGACTCCTGGGACCACCACTCACTCACGTGGGTGCACATATAGGCGAAACACTCAAACCATAAAAGTGAACAAAAACATCTAGTTGAAAAATTCATTTCCTGAGAACAAAAAGGTCAAGGGTTGGGGATGTATTAGCTCAGTGGGCAGAGTGCTAGCCTGGCATGTACAGGCCTAGGCTCACACAGGACCGTGTTCACTGCCCAGCATCGCATGAAACTGGGCAAGGTGGTCCATACTTTTAATCTACACACTTAGAAGGTGGGGGCAGGAGGACTCCAAGTTCAAGGCCATACTCAGCTCTACAGCCTGGGGAGGAGGGAAGAGAGGAAATGAGAGTGAATGACAGAACAGACTAGAGAGAGATATATCACAGACCAAAGCAACAATTGTAACTCAAAGTTAATTTTTAGCACAAATGAGTAATTTTGAAGAGAAGTTTCAATAGCCCAAAGCAAGACAGATTAAATGTTTTACTTAAGGCAGAAACAGAAGAATGCAAAATGATTCAACTCTTTGAGAAAGCAAACTGGCAAGATTTTTCACAAGTCCCAAGAAGTTCATACCCATTTTACCCACCAAGTAATCATTCTCTCAGTTAATTTCTTAAAGGAAATAATATGAATGAAAGAAAAGAAACGTAAATAAAACAATACAATAAAAAAAAAAAAAAAAGAGCCAGGGGGCTGGAGAGATGGCTCAGTGGTTAAGAGCATTGCCTGCTCTTCCAAAGGTCCTGAGTTCAATTCCCAGCAACCACATGGTGGCTCACAACCATCTGTAAAGAGGTCTGGCGCCCTCTTCTGGCCTTCAGGCATACAGACAGAATATTGTATACATAATAAATAAATAAATATTATTAAAAAAAAAAAAAAAGAGCCAGGCAAGATGGCTCAGGCCTCAATCCCAGCACTCAGAAGACAGAGGCAGGAGGATCAAGAGTTCAAGGCCAGCCTAAGCCAGGCAGTGAAGCTCTTGTCTCAAAAACAAAACACCCCAATAGCTTAGCAGGAAAAGGATTTGGCACCAAGAAGTCACTGAGTCTGGAGACCTGAGTGCGAGTCTTAGAACCACACTATGAAGAAGAGAAGCAGCTCTAGCAAGGTGTCCTCTGACCCAGACTGGCATTTGTGCCCATGTCCAGGCCCAAAATGTGAAAAATAAAAATAAATAAGTAAATAAATCAATTAATTTTAAACTATGATCCTTGGAGCTTTAACAAGACTTGCACGGTTATTTAAAGCGACAGAGCTGTGGACTGGCAGCTAACACAGCTAACAATGCTCTTAGCTTGGCTTCATACCTTCTACTGAAAGCCCAATAAAATGTACCAAACAAGTCCAACACAAGCCCAGAAATACCCAGAAAGGAGAAAAAAAAGGAACAATATTTAAGATTTGGGAACTGGAAAGTTTAATTTTTTTTTAATTTTTTTTATTTTAGAGCCAGGGTTTCTCGGGGTAGCTTTGGAGCCTGTCCTGGAACTAGCTCTTGTAGACCAGGCTGGGCTCGAACTCACAGAGATCCGCCTGTCTCTGCCTCGAGTGCTGGGATTAAAGGCGTGCGCCACCACCGCCAGTGGAAAGTTTAATTTTAAGCAATCTACACTGCTGGTTCCTAGAGAGGCTCCGGAGCCAGCTCCTCCTAGGCGCCGCTGTCTTTTCTGTGGGAAGATGCTCATCCACCAGACACATCCTGGCTTCGTCTGGTCCTCACACCTGGAGACAGGCCACAGCTTGATAGAAGCAGAGAACCCAGCACAGCTCCTAGCCGGCCTTTCCATGGGATGTCCAGGAGCTCGTCTACACCACATGCTCGAACTCTGAGACGTGCACTTTACAGGGTTCACACAGATCACCTTCTCATTTCTTCAGGAAGAAAGAAACTCTTGCAAGAGTTTACAAGAAGCTGAAGTCAGAGACTCAAATGTTTACCTCCCTCATCTATCAAAATAGCCCTTCTCCCCCCTCTCCCTCCCTCCTTCCTTCTTTTCTTTTCTTTTTTCTTTTTTTTGGGAGGTGGGGAATAGGGTTTCTCTGTGTAACAGTCCTAGCTGTCCTGGAACTAGCCCTTGGACTATGGTGGCCTTGAACTCACAGAGATCCACCTGTCTCTACCTGCAGCTTGCTGGGAGTGTGCCACCACTGCCTGACAAAAGTTTAAGCTAATTAAACTTTTGGTGGCTAAAACCTAGGCAGAGTGGCACACTCCTATAGTCCAGACTGTAGAGGGTGAGGCGTGACATTAACAAACTCAAGGCCAGCCTGTAGCCTCACATTTATTTTTTCAGATTGTTCCTTACAAGGAAGGTATTAACAGTGGCGTGGTGTACAGACACAGTGAGAGCGATAAAGAAAAGCAGACCTGACTACACTTCAAGTGAGGCACTATGCACTATGCTGTAGGGATTCCTGCCGCCCGCTGGGGCCTGGCCTCTTATACTATTTATGCCGATGTAAAGCGAGCATCCAGCCTCTTTTCCGGTTGCGGAATTCGGTTGCTCTTCCCCATTCAGCAGAGGATTGTTATCTGTGAGTCTACCCCTAAATAAATAACCCTCTATTACACTCAATTCTGAGCTAGTGTGGGATTTCTTTTAAGCGTCCTTCTTCAGCACTACAGACAGGGAAAGTGGGAAGCTACAACTGGGAGGGCTCTAGAAGACTCCGAGTTGTAGCGACGTTTAGAGTTTAGTGTGGGAGGGGTTTCATTTCACAGTTGCCTGGAAATCCTTGCTATGGTCGGTCTCCTCCATATGATTAACCTGGAAGATAATCCTACACTTTAGGGACAGTGAGATGATGGGAGACTATCACCTGTCATGTATCCCAGCTTCCTTGAAATTCAGGCAATCCTCTTGCCTTAGTCTCCTAGACATGAGATTACAGGTGCGGATCCCAGATCCAGCTTTGTTTCCAAATTTTCTACAACATGCTTAACTATCCTCATTTAGTATCATTTTAAATGCAGGAAGATGGGGTTGGAGCAGCAGCTCGGACGGTAAAAGTGCTGCTGCAAGGCCAATGACCCGACTCTAGTCCCTTGCTTCTGGGGCACACACATGCGTGTCACTACTCCTTATGCTTTGGAAGCTCCATTCCTTTAAATGTTGTATGAATGGTGCTCCATTAACAACAATACAATGCTTTTAGTTAATAAAACACAAGTAAGGAAAGTACATAACATTTGATTTATATCAAAGGAGAGCTTTTCCACCTGAGTTACCAGAAGATTCCATGTCTCATAAACCTCAATGCTGCTTTTATGTCTTTTAAACCTAAATTCTAGTAAGGACAAAAACCACCATAGCAATGAATACCAGATAATCCCTCACCAGACTACTTCAACAAGAACCACAACAGCTAATGTGAACATATTTCCTGATCAGAATGATACCAACTAAAGCCTGAAGTAAAAGGAGTTTGAAGGAAAGAACTGACTCTTGCCCACACTACCACACACATCATATAAATACACATCATATAAATACAGTGTAAAGGAAAAGCTCCTATCAAGCACAGAAAGTCTCAGTTAAACATCCCTCCCAACCCAAACATACAAAAGGACAGTGTTTTTGACTTTTCAGTGATAAAAACTGAATTCTAAAGGCAAAAGGCTTTCTATTTAAAGTTCCATGACAGGTAAGCATGGGGAACAATCTTTCACCTCTACCTATCCAGCCTTCGATGGAACCCATGTCTCAGTTTGTTTGTGAGAGACATCTCAGCAGCCCAGGCTGGCCTTGAGTTCACCATCCTCCTGTCTCTCCTGTCAAGGGTTGCAGATGTCAAGTACCACAGTGGGCTGTCTGCTGTCAGCCGTGCGGCACCTGGCCTGTGACTTACTCTCGTTAGGTCCATGCCCAGCTTGAGCTGTGACAAGAGATGCAGGATGACGCTGCGCTGCTCCTCCACCGCCCCCAGGTCGTCCTCCTTGTTGTCACAGGTGTCCTCGAGCTCATCATCTGCATCAATCTCTTCGGGTTCCTCGATGGGGAAGAGAGCAGAGTCCAGTGTTATAAGGACTTATTAACATTTACTAAGAAAAAACAGTTCGGTCTTAGAGATATTTATTCTATGTTTAAATAAATCAGAGGGTGGGCAAAACCCTTCTGAAAATACAACTATCATTAAGGAAAAACATTTCCTTTGAAGAGACCATAATTACTGGTACAGAACAGACTGTGGTCCTGTGATACATGGGATTTTTTTTTATCTGTTTGTTTTTTGAGATATAGTCTTATTGTGTAACCATCGTTAACCCAGTACTTACTATGTATTCAAAGCTGGCCTCAAACTCCCATCTTAGCTTTCTGTATACTGAGATCACAGGAATGTACTGATAATAAAATACATTCATTTTGCAGAAACAGTATTTTTCAAAAAGAGCAAAGAATGTCCCCTGAATAAACTTAGCTTTGACACTAATCTGGGAACCACTACCACATCTACAATTTTAGGTGATTTTTGTTTGAGACAAACTATCTCACTATAAAGCAAACTGCCCTTGAACTCAGCCTCCCAAGTCTTGGGAGTATAGGCATAAGCCACCAAGTCTGGCTAAATTCAGGTTTTGTTTTAATTTTTTATTTTATTACTTTGAAAAATTATGTCTTTTGTCTGTGGGTATGCGTAGCTGACAAGAGAGCTGTGAGCCACCCAACACGAGTGCTAGGAGCTACACACTGGTCCTCTTCAAGAGCAGTATGCTCTCTCAACTGCTGAGCCATCTCCCCAACCCCAAATTCAAGAGGTTTAAGGATTAAATATTTGTCCCTGTTTAACCTAAAGCTATAAAGTAACATTTGAAGGTGAATGCACACACATATCAAATCTAACTATCGTGAACCTTATTTTGCTATCACTCATGCCTTAGAAGATCTGTGGTTCAAGAGATTCCAGATACACGTAAATGCTCTGTGGCCTGTCAGTCACAATGCCACCAAAAGTACTCTGTGCGGCATTTTAATCAAATCAACAACCTCCTAGAAAAAAGAAGATGCGTACTTCCAACTCACTGGCTCTAATGAGTAATCAACTCACTGTCTCTAATGACTAGTTAAACAACTCACTGTCTCTAATGACTAATTAAACAACTCACTGGCTCTAATGACTAGTTAAACAACTGCATATTTATTACTTTAGCTTACTTTTAATTTTTTAGGGCTTTTCAATGAAGGTGGAGGTGGGGTAAGGATTTACTCCGTAGCCCAGGCTAGCCTTTAATCTCAATAATTATTTTTGTTTCCAAACAGTTTCAAATGGTCCAGGTTGGCCTGGAACTAAGTATGTCTTTGAACTCCCGATTATCTTGAATTCACTTGCCACATGCTCAAATTATAGGCTCTTGGGTTCTGACTGTGTGTGTGTGTGAGTTTGTATATATATATGTAAAGGCTAGAGGCTGATGTCAGAGACCTTCCTCTATTGCTTTTCGCTTTATTTTTTCAGACTAGATCGCTCAATGACCCGGAGGTCACCGATTCTTCTAGGATAGCTGGCCAGTGAGCTGCAGGTGTCTGCCTGTCTCCATCTCCCCAACCCTGTTCCACAGCACTGCAGTGCCACCGCACCCCAATTTTACATGGGTGCCAAGGAATCTGAACTCAGAGTCTCATATATTCATGACAGAAACTGCCAAATGGTCCATCTCCTCAACCCTGATGACTTTTATGTTTTTGCCAGAATCTCACTCTGTAGTGGCTTGGAGACTCACTTTGCAGTTCAGGCTGACTTTGAACTTGTGATGATTCTCTTGCTTCAGTCTTTAGAGTGGCTAGGATTGAAGGCTGGAGCCACCATACCTGCCCAGCTTGCCTTGAACAACAAATACACCAAGGTTCAAGAGAACCTCATCAGCAGTCACGTTTATACAGAGGTGGTGCCCTGCCTCTCAAAGATCAGCTTGTCAGCATCTTTCTCCAAAAAGTTGAATATAAGAATGCCATCTTTTCTACTTTACTAGATTTAAGAATATCAGGATAGCTGGGCGGTGGTGGCACACGCCTTTAATCTCTCTGAGTTGGAGAGCTAGTTCCAGGACAGGCTCCAAAACCAGAGAAACCCTGTCTCGAAAAACCAAAATAAATAAATAAATAAAATAAATAAATAAATAAAATAGTAGGGGCATCAAGCATTAGCTCTGAACAAAGGAATTTTAAAAATAATAATAAAAAAAAGAATATAAGGATAGTGGAGTGGGGGTGAGTAGGTAATTTGGGGACAGTCTTAAACCCACAGCCTCACACAGAGCTAGGAATACAGGTGTAAGCCTTCATGCTTCGATAGTTATGAGGATTTTTTTTTTTTTTTTTGGTTTTTCGAGACAGGGTTTCTCTGTAGCTTTGGAGCCTGTCCTGGAACTAGCTCTTGTAGACCAGGCTGGTCTCCAACTCACAGTGATCCACCTGCCTCTGCCTCCCAAGTGCTGGAATTAAAGGCATGCGCCACCACCGCCCGTTTTCTTTTTTTTTTTTTGGAGTTATGAGGATTTTTATAAAGAAATTATCTTGGTGCTGTCATTTTTATTTCCCCACTGCTATTAATTCCATTCAGGTTAAGATACTCACATGTTTTTGTTCTGTGTAGCTAGACCAAAACCAAACCAAACACACATGGACAGTACACAGACACATACAAACTAACAAAATCTCAAACCTGCCAGGTATGGTGGAACAAGCCTTTAATCCCAGCACTTGGGAGGCCCAGGGAGGCAGATCTCTGAGAGGCCAGCCTGGTCTACAGAGTGAGTTCCAAGACAGGCTTCAAAGCTATACAGAGAAACTCTATCTCTAAAAGCTAAAATAAAATAAATAAAAAAAGACTGCACAGACAAATTTTGCGTGTTTACAGTATAGAGCTTTCTGTTTTAATGACCTTGAGGAGTGACTCCAAGACTTCCTTCCTCACACCCCTCTTTAAAAGTCAGCCTGTCAGGAAGCAGCCCCTGCTCTGGAGCCTAGATCACTGCACAGAACGTCTACATGAACGTTGGTCACTCTTAAAACAAGGGGAACTGACAGCCCTCTCTACACATGGACCAAACAAAACCATTATATGAGATTAAGTAATTACAGGAGACCTCGGAGGAAACCCCCCTAGCTTGTGACTAAGAATGCTGACATTCTGAAAGGTACCCTTACATCTGAGGTTGGAACATAGGCTACAGATTAATATTGCAAACACAGCTTTGGAGGATGGGGTATCTCTCAGATGGAGCATGTGCTCAGTTACCAGAGACCCTGGCACACTCAATCTCAGCACCAAAAACCAAACAGTAATGATAAACAGAACACAGTTACTTTGTGGATGGAACGTTCTCTACTGGAAAGAATATTAAAGGAAAACACCAGGTAGAATAACTGTAGAGGAATACAATTTTTAATATTAAAAACTTATTACATCTATTTACATACTTTGTATAAGTGTATATGTTATATGTGTGTACGTGTGTGGGCATGTGAGGGGCATGGTGTGCACGTGGAAGTCAGAGGACAACAGGAAGGTGTCAATTCTCTCCTATTATGTGAGTTTCAGGGACTGAACTCAGGTTGTCAGGCTGGACGGCAAGTGCCTTAACTCACCGAGCCATCATATTGGCCCAATTTTCATTGTGCTACAACAAATAAATAATTCATTGGAATAGGGGAAAAATTTATTTAATTTTTTTGAGACAGGAACTTGCTATATAAACCAGACTGGCCTGGACCTCAGAGATCGGCCTGCCTCTGCCTCCTGAGAGCTGGGATTAAAAGCACGTTTCAGCCAGGTGGTGGAGGTTCACGCCTTTAATCCCAGCACGTGATCCTGCCTGACTGTATTTCCCTGGGAGCACAGACCACACGGCACCGGTGAGCTCTATGGAGCAATGCCGCAGGAAGTACTACTCCACACTGAGCGCACGACTATAGCAATGCTGTGACTGGCTCTTACAGCTAGTTATACTGTAAGCCTGCTAACTTTATCCTGACCACAGTCTCACAAGGCATTAGCATCACTACTTTACAGGTGAGGAACCTGAAAGCACAACTTTAAAAGCTTTGTTTCCAAAGCATTCCTCTTCTACCCAGTACTTCTTTTCTGGAGGGCAAATGGCGAAAAGTGTAAATCTTATCAATTAAGAATTTTTTTTTGTTTCATCTCATCACCTGCTTGTTTTAGTGTGCAGTAGTTGTGGGTGCAAGTAAATTCCACACCTCTTCAGTGAAAGAACTATGTCTTCCTGTTTGTTTCTCCTCTAATTCCAGACAGCCTGGTAATTACAAGTGTGCGCACATGTGTGTGACAACGCATGCTATTTACTTACTAATCTGCTTTCCTACTTCTCAGCTCCCTGTTTCCAGCACCTCTTCATAAATTCAGTCTTTACAGTTTTGGACTAGTGCCTTATCTCTTAAGAAATAACTTGCTCGTATATAAATGATCATAAAGTTTGCATTAATCTAGACTCAGTAATTCTATTGGGATATAATTTAAAGAAATAATCAAAAATTGAGAGAAAAATATTACTTAACAATAGTGTTATTAATAAGAAAGACAAACTAAAAATAAAACAAAAAGAAAAATAATACTTAACAATAGTGTTATTAATAAGAAAGACAAACTAAAAATAAAACAAAAAGACAAACTAGACATTCAACAACAGGGACATTAACTCAGTATCTTATTTTGACTTTAAAACACTAATTATACAGACTAGACAGAAAATAGCTTCAACTCTCTATGTAATTATAGTAGGCATCAAGATTGCAGACGAGAACATAAAAGGCAAAGCAAACAAAATGAGAAATGATATAATTTCTAACAGTATGTCTATGGCAGAATACAACACTATAGTTCCTAAACACAAAATGAGCCGGAGGTCATGTGACAGAGAGCAACAGCTGTACTGGTGACCAACGCTTACAATCTCAGTGCTATTTAAGCAAAGACAATAAACAAAGCTAAATTACACTGTTGTGTGGACCCATGCTTTTAATTCCAGCAGTTGGGAGGCAGAGGCAGTGAATCTCTGAGTTCAAGGCCAGCCTGGTTGACAAGAGAATTCCTGGACAGCCAGGGCTACACCTAGTCTCAAAAACAAACAAACACAAAAAATGTGATGAGACTGGGTGTGGTGGTGCCTGTGAGGTAAGCCACGAGGAGTATTGATCTGATCATTAAAGTCCAACTAGGGCTATCCATTAAGTTTTAGGCCAGCTAGGAAGAGTCTCAAAAAGAAAAAAAAAAATCAAACAAATAAACAATTATCTGTATCAGACAAAAGTAAAGACTAAAAAGGGGACATCATTAGACCTGAAAAACCCATGTTCAAGTTCAATTAAGAGCTTTTCCAAAGCAAACAAACGGCTTTCAGGTAGATATCAACAGCTAGAAGCTGCAAGAATGCAACTCTAGTGTTCTGAGGGCATAAACGCCTTCACAACAAAAACGACACTGTCCCCTTTCAATGATTCCTCATTTCTTCCACCAAATCTTCATATCCCCTTACCCTTGCTACTGCTCCAGACTCTGCGGCAGACTGTGCTTCCGGGACGGCCATGGGCTTACTCGGCTCAGGTGCAAAGGGCTGCTCAGCTCCATTCCTATAGTGGTTTGATAAAGGTATCTTTGGTTCCAACCACTCAATGGTTGCTCCTGATGAAGTAAGAGAAAAATTCTCCTGAGACTCGCTCATAATCTGGGAAGTACAGCAGATCTGGATTTTACTAAACAATTTTGTTTTGACGCTACAAGACTAAAGCAGTTCAACCTGCCCCGAAAGGAGACAGCGGCTGGGCCTCATTAGCATGAGCACCGTGATTGGGTATTTCACCACAGGGCAACTTGCAACTTGAAATGAGACACTATGTAAAAGAAATCCACCCTGAATAGGGCTGATCTTGCTTCCTAGACAAGTCTGTGAATCGTGGAGTGAGCTCCTGAACAGCGCATTAGCCAGTGGTATCGATTATGTCCCTCTAATCATCAAAACGTATATAGTTAGGCTTTAGTGGAGAGCCACTCCAGGAAGCTGAGATGGGAGACCAACATAATTTGTTTAAAAATTGCCATCTTCCCAAGCAATCAAAATAACTCATTGGCTCTAATTTAAATACTACACATATATCTTCTATTTAAATCATCAACAGCCTAAAGTAATTTCAACTGAAAATCTTTTCTACTGAGCTCACAGAGCTGACCCTGTGAAGTCAGTGTCACATGTGGAGACCTGTCACTTCTCAATTAATGAGTCAATGGTCTCTTGTTACCCTCAACTAGTTTAACAAAGATTCTATGCCTAATCAATAATGGAAATGTTCCATTTGATTTCAGAGGCTGATCTGGGTTTCACAGAAGCTAGGTTATGGAGTGCAAGAATAAGGGACACTCAGACTACAAACTGAAACTGAAAACAGTAGGCCATTTACTAAGTCAGAGAGCAGACTTGAAATGAGCAATAAACGACAAAGTACCCAACAGGCTAGTAGTGTCCTGCCTTGTTCACTGGCCCTTGGCACTAGAGGCATGAAGACCAGAGGGATGTCCTGGCTAAAGTCATGGGCCTATTTTAAAGTTGTACAGATAAGAAAACATTCTCTCTAATTGAAAATAACTATTTTTAATATCACTATCCAATTTTTTTTTTCAAAAAATAGAAGACACGTGAGCATTAATTAAAAAGACTCAGTTTAGAGGGCTAGTCAGGTAACTAGAAATTATAATAAACTTTACTAAATCAGCCATCTGGCCTCAAGGCCCCTCCAAATGAACACATCTACAAATGAATCTCTAGCTAGCATATATTCAGACACGACGGTGCAGAACAGTACTACATACTTGTCACCCCAGTGCTTAGAAAGCAGGTGCAGCACAGGCTGGAGGGGTGGCTCAGAGGTTAAGAGCACTGGCTGCTCTTCCAGAGGTCCTGAGTTCAAGTCCCAGCAACCACATGGTGGCTCACAACCATCTGTAATGAGATATGGTGCCCTCTTCTGGCATGTAGGTGCACATGCAGAGCACTTACACATAAAATATAAATAAATAAAACTAAAAAAAAAAAATCAAGGCAACAGGAGTAGCTGACTAGCCTGTGATACATGATACATAGTGAGTTTATAGCCAGTCCATAAATGGATAAAACAAAAATATGGCTTTACGGAGTTAAACATCTTCTGAACATAGATTTCAGCTTCCATGTCACTGAAGAATTTGAATGGAATGGTAATTGTTTTTCCAAGTTATATTTTCATTCTGAGGAGATTTAAAATAAAATTTTACAAGCCAAATTTGGAAAAGATGGCAACTATGGTAAGAACCAGCAATGGCAATAAGGTAATCCCTCGAACCACCTATAAACCTAGCCTCCAAAAAGTCCAATGTGAAAACAACTTTCACTTTAAAACTTCAAACTTTGGCAATTAATGCAAATTTACTCATACATCTTTCTTTTTTCTTTTTTTGGTTTTTCGAGACAGGGTTTCTCTGTAGCTTTGGAGCCTGTCCTGGAATTAGCTCATGTAGACCAGGCTGGCCTTGAACTCACAGAGATCTGCCTGCCTCTGCCTGGGATTAAAGGCGTGTGCCACCACCGCCTGGTTTCTTACACCTTTCTTAATCATGAAGAAAACATCAAAAATTAAATAAACCATACAAAAGTTTCATGATTGTTTTAAATGATATACTATTTAATCAAGTTTATTTAGCATTTAATCTAGTAACCAGAGCCAGTGCTGTCTGATAGACTTTTAAAAATTAAACAGTACAGACTAGAAATAAGATGTTTCACTTTCCTAACAAGCTCATTAACTAAAATCAACCCACATCTCTTATATCAGGGCAGCTCATCCAATGTTCAAATAAGAAGAGTAACTCGAGGGAAGCGAAGTACTCATCTAAGGATGTAAACAACTAAAAAATTTCCTTAGCAAAAGATTGTAAGTTGGAAAGTACTTCCGATCTTTAGTGAAAACCATGACAAGGTAGAATACAACACAACACTAAAGAGGAAATGAGCAGTGGACAGAGCTGGGAGTCAGGACACACCCTAGTGATTCTACCCATTACCTGGATACAGGAATGGAGAGGAATGCCACTATTTTAACAGAAACTGAGCTCTACATTTATTTGACTTTCGACGTGCTGAGTTTGAGGTCTAAAAACGTATATTCAATGTTAAACATTAGACCTAAAATATTCTGAATTCCAAAAAAAAGCACAAAATAAGGAAGTTTGTATTACACTAGTGTGCTAACCAAAAATCAAGGGACTCAATTGATTTTTAATTTCCCTCTTCTATTTTTCAAAAAATGTTTTTCATAGCATTAAATGACAATAAAATCAGTGCTTCCCATGTTTTAAGGCCAATCTTCAGTCCTACCTTTAATCTCCGACCTACCTGGGGGCAACGAGCCCTTCTGATGGGACGCGTGCTGCAGCTGGAGAATGTGGAAGCAGTCGTTTAAGCAGTTCATCGTTGCCATGGAAGTAGCTTTGAGCATCAAGAGGTCCTGGTCCAAAGAACTAAGAAGGCCAGAAGCAGGAAGGCATTCGATCCGTCTAATCAGGTCTCGTTGTTGTCCTTCTGCATGAGTCATCATCTAAGAGAAACAACAGTCCTGTGGGTCTCACTCACAATGTGACACGGATAATGTTTGCTAGTCATTTAAATAACAGTATTCGTTCTTTGAAGCATTTTCCAAGTATATTAGACTTAGAAATCTATCTTAACTTTGTGAGGCTACTTTCTTGCTTAAAAATTATTTTATTAGCCAGGTGGTGGTGGCACACCCGCCTTTGATCCCAGCACTCAGGGAGGCAGAGGCAGGCAGATCTCTGTGAATTTGAGGCCAGCGTGGTCTACAGAGTAAGTTCTAGGACAGCCAGAGATACACAGAGAAACCCTGTCTCAACTCCCTCCCTCCAAAAATTATTTTATTATTTTGTGTTTATGTCTGCATGTATGTGTACCACATGCATGTATTACCCCCCAGAGGCCGGAAGAGAGCATGAGATCCCTTGAGATCGGAGTTAAAGACAGACCATGTGGGTGCTAGAGATTGAACCAGGTCCTCTGGAAGAGCAGCCAGTGTTCCTAATCACTCCAGCCCCTGCTGGGCTACTTTCAATTAATGGGCATTTTACAATGCTTATCAATTGAAGATTGTGACCTTTGATGGCTACATATTTTCTCTGGAAGCAATAAAGCACAAAATGCCTGCTACTTTCTGTTAGCAGTATTAACTTCCCCAAGTCATCAGAACATTCAGCACATCGTCAACAGCAGTACTGAATTTTTAATTCCACAGTTAAAATTAATTTCCAGTCTGTGCCCTCAATCACTTTCCTCTAATGTGTTAGCCAGGCTTGAACAACTGAAAAAGCATGATAGCTTACCTGCCTCATCCTCCCCTGACCTCCTAGTCAGGGCATCTGGACTGTTGTTAGGCCAGTTTTAAGCAACTACTAGATTATAAGCCTTCCACAGATGACTTAAGACATTCTTTGACTAGGAGCCTACCCAACACTACTATAACACACACACACACACACACACACACACACACACACACACACACACCCATCTCTCCACTAGCCCTGGCTGTCTGTCATGGAACCTGCTACATAAACCAGGCTGGCCTTGAACTCACAGAATCCGCCTGCTTCTGCCTCCCAAGTGCTGGGGTCATAGGTGTGAGCCACTACACCAGGTTCCTATCCACTTCTAACAGAGCCAATGGAATAACAATTAGTGAACAATGTAATATTTGTAGAGGAAAACAACTGATGATATTTTCAAGTGTAAGCAGAGGGTTCTCAGATTGCTTATCCTTGGGAACTACATTAACTCACATAGACACTATGTGATGGAAAACCCTGAGCTTTAGAAGCTGTGTTGTGTGTGGTGGCGATTAAGAAACAAAGGTTAAAGTCAAGTGTCCCCTCCATTGCTCTCCATCTAAGACCCTGGAGGCAGGGTTGCTCTCTGAACCTGGAGGTCCCTGTTTTTGTTCTTTGGCTTGATTACTGGCCAGCAAGTCCCAGTGATCCTTCTGTTTCTGCCCCCTGGTGTTAGGACTGCACGCACCCAGCCTGTGCTCGATAATGATATAAACGCAGTGGCCCGATGAAGCAAATCAAGTGTATTATATGAAACAGTTCCTAAAAACATGAGACACGGTCAAGGTTTAAACCTTTACTTTTCCCAGGAAAACAAATCTTCAAAATGAGACGCTGGACATAAAGCTATCTATATAAACACATTTATAAATGTGAATACACGGATACTCTGTTGTGCATTTTCTAAATTATCTATCAATTTATTGAAATAGGTTTCCCTTTGTAGTAGGGAATTGCCTAGAACTCACTATGTTGTAACCCAGGTTGTTCCCAAACAAAACACAAAACTTATGTCAATCAGGGCTGGAGAGATGGCTCGGAAGGTAAAGGCACGGGCCAGCAAGTCTGACAACCTAAGTTTGAGCTGCAGAAAACATACAAAAGTGATAGTCAAAATCTACTCACGAAAGTTGTCCTCTGACCTCCACATGTGCAGTGACACAGGCACACCCTCACAAATATACAGTAAATAAATTGTTGAGAGAGAGAGAGACAGAGAGACAGACAGGCTGGCAAGATGCCTCAGAACACTTGTACTTTTTAGAACCTGGATTCAATTCCTGGCACCCACATTGGGTGGCTCACAGTTACATGGAACTTCAGGGGATCCAACACCCTCTTTTGGCCTCCTCTGATACTGCATTCATGTGGTACACATACAAACAAGCAGGCACACACATCCACATAAATAAGAGTAAAAAATTTAAAAAGTTTGTGATAGCTCCTGCCTCAGCTTCCCAAGCACTGAGATTACAGATATGCGCCACCATGCCTAGCTTCTGTCTTGTAGATAAATTTGGGGGCTAGTGGGGCTAAGTAGCAGAGAGTTTGCCTAGCATAAGTGAAACCCTATGTTCAATTCCTAGCACTACAATACATACAAACACATACAAATGTATGTATGTACTAAGAGACTAATTCCCAAATAATTCAAATTTATGAAGTAAGTCCAAGCACTTTAGAATAGTTTTGTGAGATATAACAGAGCTAAACAAATATAACCAGGATTTAACAATTATTTTCAAGTACATAACAGAGGCGTAGAAATAGATGTCCACCAACTCCAATGTCCACCAACTCTCAAATGGACAAAAGTGTAGCATGCTCATGTAGGAACTACAGCAATGAAGAGAAAGGAACAGCTACATGCAACAACATAAGCAAACAGTAAAGATGCATGGTGAGCCGCACAGACCTCTCCAAAGGAGCACTTACTGTGTGCTTCTAGCTTTGGAAGTTTTTGGTGTCTAGTCAGTGAGGAAAGGAACAGTGGTAGACATGAAAGAGACTCCTCATGTCCTGCTAATTAATCCATTATTTGTTGTTTTGCTTTTGAGACAAAGAGTAGAGGCCACTGGAGTAAGTAACCCTGCCTCTGTGATGAGAAATCAAAGTAGAGGAAGTAGTTTCCAAAGGGGATTTGGGTCAGAGAGCTGTAGGACCTAAACAGACAAACTCAGTAGATTCTTCTGGTTTCCTTAGAACAGAACTCAGTGCTCAGACTGCTTCTCTCACTCAGGAGACACTAAGGGGAGAAGTGTAGCTTGGACATGCACTAGGCACACTGACTAGAAGCCTCTAGCCTAAAAGAGGCTCAGTAGTAAGGAGCTGCCGCTACCCAGATACTGCCAGTGTGCCCTTGGCCACATATTCTGTACATCTATGGGACAAGCATTTGCCCACCTTGGTCAGATTATAGCCTGGCAAAGCTTAGTGGGAGAGAGGGGTCTTTAGGGGTCCACCATTTCCCATGCCTCAAGTGCTTATTAAAAGTGTTAGGAGAGAATACAGCCTGGCTGAGTGAAAAGATACAGGGTGTGGCCTTCTTACTAGTCCAGCTTGTTTGCTGTCATCTGCGACCCAGCATAGCCTGCTAGTCTTGGCACCCACCAACAGCAGATGCTCTTTGAGTACCTCAGCCAGGAGGGTTTGATAACTCTTTACAAACTAGTTTTCCTTTTCTCTTTTCTTCCATTTTAAAATTTTAATATCTATTATTTATTTTTAGGCAAAGTCTTACTATGTAGCTCTGGTTGGGCTAGAACTCACTCTGTAGACTAGGTTGGCCTTAAACTAACAGAAATTCAGCTGTCTTAGCTCCTAAATGCTGAGATTAAAGGCAACTTTAACCACAAAAGGCCTTCCTGTTGTCTTTTTTTTTTTAAATCAGACTTATTTAATTCTATATAAGAGTGTTTTATCTGTATGCATATATGTGTGTACCACAGGAATGCTAGGTGCCTGAGAAGGTTAGAAGAGGGCATTGGCTCCCCTGGACCTGAAGTTAAAGATGGCTGTGAGCCACTGTGTGGGTGCTAGGCATTGAGTCCATCTTCAGCAATAGCAACAAATGCTCTCACCTACTAAACCAAAACTCAGCTTCCCACTGCCTTTTTAAAAATAAAATGAAAGTTTATTACCTTTAAAGCTTATTCTGTATCACTTTCCCCCTTCCCCTATGGCTGTGTGCTGAGTGTTGTCCTTGAGCTGGTTTTCTTCAGTGCATTTCTCTACTGGCTTGTTTTTATCTTCTTGTTGCTGTGCTGGAGACTGAGCTGAGCACCTCGAGTTTAATGAGGGTTTTGAACTAACTGAGAGACAATAAACTTTACCCCAACCATGGCCTAGTCCTGACTGACCTTCAGTGGAAGCTTTACATCAAAGAACAGGAGAGACAAAAGTCAAAAAGGCCAGGACCAACAGCCTAAATCCAAGTAGGCATATGTAGGGGTGGGGCCTGAAGTCCCAGAGCAGGACATTCACCTCTGGAGCAAAGAATACAACTACTGCATCTCCACACAGCATCAACACCCTGGGACACGCAGTCAAGAGAAAGCTGCTTCCTCAAGTCTTCAGGACAGGTGAAGAGACAACTATCCCAACAGGTAATCCCACCACAGAAGACAACAAGTACAGAAATACAGCAACACGATACCGCCTAAAGTATGTCCTCTCTAGTGGCAGATTCCAAAAGCAGATGTAAAAGAAATGCCAAACAAAGAATTCAAAAGAATGAGGTTCTGTCTGTGTCTATGCCTGCAGGCCAGAAGAGGGCACCAGACCCCATTACAGATGGTTGTGAGCCATCATGTGGTTGCTGGGAATTGAACTCAGGACCTTTGGAAGAGCAGGCAGTGCTCTTAACCTCTGAGCCATCTCTCCAGCCCCTAGAATGAGTTTTTTAAAGAACAATGAAGCGGGAGGTGGTGGCACATGCTCTGAATCCCAACATTCAGGAGGCAGAGGCAAGCGGATCGCTATGAATTCGAGGCCAGTCTGGTCTACAGTAAAACCGTATCTCAAAAAAAAAAAAAAAAAAAAAAAAAAAAAAAAAAAAAAAAAAAAAAAAAAAAAAAAAAAAAAAAAAAAAAAAAAAAAAAAAAAAAAAAAAAAAAAGAGAGAGAGAGAGAGAGAAAGAAAAAAAGGAAAAAAAAAAAGAATGCAATCAGGAAAACCTTGAGAGACCATGGAAACTCAAACAATAAACAATGAAAGGTGATTTTTTTTTTCTTTTGGCCATAGGACTATGTACCCCAGGCCTAACTCTGCCTCTTGAGTGCTGGGATTAAGGCATGCTCAACCACACCTCGCTTTCAGGCCATTATTGATGGCAGCTGGCTTGACAGTGTCTGACTTGCAGGCTCACATACTGTTAGTTTATGACGACGGTAATAGGTTTAGCAATGGTCAGCAGTCTTAGCTTTAAGGTTTTTATAACTATTGTCATATAAATTTTAATTTAATATCTAAACTCTAGAAGTTGAATTTTTTGATTGTGAGTATATGAATTTTGATGGTGTATGAAATGATGTTCTATACCAAATAGAAGTTTAAAAATATTTTTAACATTTTTTTGCATGTGTGAGCACTTACACATAAATGTGTGTAAGTGTAATATGTCATACACATGTGTGGCAACTAGGGGACAACTTGTGGAAATCTGTTCTCTCTTTCCACCATGTGGGCTCTGGTCATCTGGCTTGGTGGACAAGGACCTCTGCATTCTGAGTGATCTTTCAGACCTTCCTTCAAATAGTTTTTTTGGGGGTCATTTACTTGTTAGTTGAGGCAAGGTCTCACTATATAGCCCTGGCTGAGCTCAAACTCACCTCTGCCTGCCTCCTCCTGCCAAGTGCTGAGACTAAAGGAATTCACCACCACACTGGACCTAAATTTTAATTTTAAAAACTTACTTAGTGAAGCAAAATATGAAGAAGAATGATTTTAAGAGAGCAAGAAAAGAATTCACATACTTTTTATGAAAAGGATGTTTTATACCTAACCTATTTGCTTAACAGGATTAGAATCAAAAGTGGTTGTTTTGTGTGTCTCAAAGCATATTACTTCCTCTCTATAAACTTCAATTTCTATATTCATAAACATAAATAAATCCTGATAGAGGACACATTCTCCCCAGCTGTCTGCTTCAAAACACCTGGGTGATTTACAGTATCATGTCCACAACCCATGTCTTAGTAAACGGGAAGCCCTACGAAATTTAACTCAGCAAGCAATGCCTGAAATAGTTACAACCTGGCAAACTGCACCCTTTATCAACTAGAGTTAAAAAGAAATAAATCACAAGATAAGGCAATACCAGATTAACTCTACTTTTGTGTGTGACAAATTTTTATGTGTCAGTCTGCCTGTCTGGTCTGTGTGTTTTTGTTTGGCTTTTCAGCTTGAGCACAGGGGTTGTACACACTAGCCATACACTCTACCACTGAGCTCATGCCTTCATCCCTATCTATAACATTTTGTTGTTTTACAGAATGATCTCTGCATAGGCTCTCTATCCTTCCCACTAGGTCATGGCTCTCACACTGGAGCCCACGCTGGCCATTCTCCTACTTTGGCATACCAAGAGCTCAGATTACAGTTATGCTTCACCATGACCAGCTTAATGACTGTCTTGACCATAAATTTTACAGCAAAGGAACCTGTAGTTTTACTTGAAAACTAAAAAGACAGACATAGATTTTTAAAAAGAAAACTCAAAAAGATACAGATTCTTGGAAAAATGACAGTATTCCACCCAGCACAAAGCTGTGAGACACAAAGAACTTGGACTACCTGCAATCTTACTATCTTTACACCAAAGGGCCCAGAGGCACAAACAGAACCCACAACTCTGGGAGAAAAACCAGGCACTGCTGCTGTGCACCTTACCTGGCCTTCAACTCATACTTACTTCTCTGACTTCCACAAGATGGTCTGGATGCAAATGAGCTCTTTTGTTCACTGATTGCAGTTTGGAATGTCCCACATTAAAAAACGAAATGGCATTCTGACTCGGTCTCCTCTGGGATATGGGAGAATTACCACTAGATGCAAGCGAGAAGCTCCGTGACTTCAGGGGAGGATTATTCTGTGAGAAAAACAAAGTAATGTCTCTTTTGCTTTTTAAATTTTTGGTTCTCTTGCCATTAAATTACATATACTTCAGGCTTTATACATGTAGAATTTTGAGAATATATTAACATCAGATTTGACTTAGACAAATTCCTGAAGATTAATTGTATGCTATTCAAAGATTAGAAAATTGAAGTTTCCAGTATGTCATTCTCAAAGAATTTTTATATATTTTTCGAAAGTCTATTAGAAGAACAAGATTTTTCTGATTTCTTAAACATTGTAAGACAAAGAAAAAAAATATATATATTCTGTAAGCAGTAATATAATACATCTCCTAAAGAAACAATTAGGTGTCCTTTGGAACAGTCTGGTACTTTCTGCTCACTGTCACTGACTAGCAGTTGGCACCATGAGTAAAATATTACATTGTGTTTCCTAGAGACTAGGCATCGAACCTAAATACGATGTTTTGTTTGATTTATTTTAAGAGGCTAGTTTCAAAACACAAGGTGGAGAGTGACTGAAGACACTGACCCTGAACTCTGGCCTCCGCCTGTATGCCAATGCACACACACCTGAAATAATGTTCATCCAAAACCTTAAACCCTTTAATCCCAGCACTCGGGAGGCAGAGGCAGGCGGATCTCTGGGAGTTCGAGACCAGCCTGGTCTACAAGAGCTACTTCCAGGACAGGCTCCAAAACCACAGAGAAACCCTGTCTCGAAAAAAAAAAAAAAAAAAAAAAAAAAAACAAAAAAAAAAAGATTCCAAAGTCGGGGGCAGGAGAGATGGCTCAGAGGTTAAGAGCATTGCCTCCTCTTCCAAAGGTCCTGAGTTCAATTCCCAGCAACCACATGGTGGCTCACAACCATCTGTAATGGGGTCTGGTGCCCTCTTCTGGCCTGCAGGCATACAGACAGAATA